TAGCTGTTCTTGAGAAGACTTTTAAAGCTATTTCTATATATTTATGTGGTAAACTTTGACCGACTGTTGTTGCCCCGTCCTACCCCCAGGGGTCATGATTTGAACTAACTCGAATCTACATTACCTGAGAATACTTTGTATTAATAAGACTAATAATGGCTTAGCTGTTCTGAGAAGAAGATTTTTAAAGGCATTTCCTATTTATTCCTATGATAAACTTTGAACCCCTCTTGTGGCCCCGCCCTACCCCCAGGGGTTATGATATGAACAAACTTGAATCTAGAGTATGTAATGAAGCTTTCACATGTGCGTACGTTTCATCTTTTCTTGCCCAGTTGTTCCACGATTTCTTAATTATCTCCCCTTGAAAGAAGGCGTGGCTCTTCCTGTGAACAAACTTAAATTCCCTACACCCAAGGATGCTTTGTGGATAGTTTGGTTGAAATTGATCCAATGGTTCTTGAGAAGAAGTCGAAAATGCGCAAAGTTTACAAACGACGAACGACAGACGGACGCCGGACACTCTTTGATCAGAAAAGCTTATTTGAGCCTTCAGCTCAAGTGAGCTAAAAATAAGATATCACATTTCCAAATGCGTCTCAGCCAAACTGAAACCAAACCTAGAATTATAATTCCCCGTATAGTTTTAATGCAAATTTCATGGGTTTTTAGATGGGGCGAACCTTAAAGTTTTTCTAGAAATACTACGAAGAATATTTTGACATATTTTGAACTTAAACAAGTTCTCAGACTGGTAAATAAGAAACTGTATAAAATGTATATTTGATTTATGCAAATGATAGCCCGAAACGGAAGTCAGTATGCAGCCATAATACTAGGCCATAATATAGATACCAATACATTTGATAAATAAAGACAATTATATGCAAACATCCTCAGGGGTAAGGTGATTAATACATGTACATGTACTTACATGTATCTGTAAATATTTCGGAAAAATAAAAAATACTCAAAAAAGATAACTCTATATTTAGACATCTCCAAATTTTGTACGTTAAATTACTAATTAGTTCATTTACTGTATCATCCACTTAACACTGAGTAATATTACCATGTTGTAAGCTATAAAGATGCATATTCCTTAGCAGTACAAGACTTGGAATAGTCTATGTAACATCCCAGCACCCATTTGGTGCATCAATTACAGCTGTATTCTGATTTAGGATTCAGAATGATTGATATTAAAAAAAATTGCTCGGTTGAGTGATGTTGTTCAGGGATCACATATGTATTTGTTTATGTTTTGTAGTCGAATGCACTGATTGGTGGGACTGTTGTAATTGTTGGCTTGGAGCAACAGATATCGACAGCGAGGGGATTTATACGTGGAATCGCCACTCAAATTTAACGTTTTCAAATTGGCGCAATGGTGAGCCCAATAACAAATATAAAAAAGAACATTGTGGCCAAATTTGTCGAAATGGAGTTTGGAATGATCGACACTGTTATAACAATTATGCATTTATTTGTGAAAAGGAGTAATATTTCAACCACTTCAAGAGGGCAAGAAATTTTGAAATTAATGGGTTTTTTGTTTGTTTGTTTTGTATGTGTGTGTGTTTGTGTGTGTGTTTTAAAAATAATCACTATATACAAAGTGTTTTTACCATATTAACACAAAATATATGTAAACTCTTTATTATGTACATGTATATGTTCAGCAGTACAAGCTGATAGATCTAATGACCGGTTTATGTGAAAGAAGTACCCATTACAAGCTTATAGACCTAACGACCGGTTTATGTAAAAGTAGTACCCATTATATCATCTTTCATGTACCTCCCTCAGAGGAAGTGTCTGCATGGAGTGAGATGATTGGGCATGGATCCTGTATACAACAAAAATTTGCTACATAGTACGTTTATGTACTTCACCATTGCAAATTTTTTGATTAACAGTGAAACTTTATCCTACAATTTTGTTTAAGATTGGGACCTTAATATTTCTTAATTGCATACCAATGTAGCAATATTTGAAAATAATTTGTGAATATACAAGTGATATTTCCTTTCAATATAAGTAACTTGCATGTTAGAATAAGAGAAAATAAAATTTAATTATTTGAAATTCATAATAAAAATACTTTCATTTACTATCCAAGAACTTTTATTTATTGCAGTAAATTGATACTATAGTAAATTATTATGATAGTAAACTATAGTTGATTATAATTATAGTCAATATGTCTTTGAAAACCATCCAAGTTCTAATGTATTATAATTATTGTAAATTTTGTGATAGTATGAATTATTAGCAATTAATTGTCAATAACAACTGTAATACGGATAAGAGCTAAAAGTTTTGTTTATAATTCCGGACCATTATCAACAGTATCTATAAATTGGCCCGGCCATTATGATATTTCCCATATGAATGTAAATATTACATTTGGTCATCAATACATTTGATTTAACATTAAAACTCTAAATTGATGTTCAATTATGAGATAATGGACTTTTGTACCGTTTATACATGGACACAGGACAATGTACGATAATGTATATGTAGATGAATGTTTACGTATCATCTGTGCATCTATCTATCAATCATCTACATTGATCTGTGATAAAAATCTTTTATTGAGACTCTTAAATCTTTCCTGGTAGTTACTTACAGAAGGTATACTACAACCGTACCCTTTTCCACGGGGTCATAATTCCTCGGAGTCACATTTTCTCTCCAGTCTGCGGATAGAAGATTACGCAGATTTCTTTGATAGCCATTATATGTCTAAAATAAATACCATATACGTCTGCGGTAGTTAGAATAAAATCTATATAATTATAGAATATGCCTCTTTTCTGTTTGATTCCATTTTGTAGAGGGGAATGTACAGTCATGTAATAATGTCTACTGTATTTTATTTATTTGTTGTTTAACATCCCTTCGAAATTTTTCACTCAAATTGAGATACCACCCACTTACAGGTGGAGGGCTGCAAAGGATGATGTGACATGACTGCTATCTGGGGCCCCTTTTTCTACGACGAATTATATTTAATCTACAACGATTTTGATAATTTTCATACATGAGTGAATAAATACGACGCCTTTTGAATAGTTTTAATAGTTCCGACAAATTTTAATTATAAGGATTACTGCATTATCTATGATTTTTTTGACCCTATGACAGCAAAATTCGGCCTGGTTTGTGACAATACGTTCTTTTATGAAAGAGAATAGGCGGGTCTTAGTACAACAGAGGGATATGCATGTTTGAGGAATCTACCTTATATGGCTATTGTTATTATTTCGCACATAGAGAACAATTGTCCAATCCGATGACAGAACGACAAAACATGCTGGTTTACTACACGTTTACTTTTTATCACGGACACGTGGTTTAGGTCAATTTACACAATATCTCTACTACATTTCAAACTTTTAATGGTCAGCCAAGGCTGTTTATACATAATAATACGCATGGAACCGCAGTGTTTACCGTTTAGGGTCAAGAATGAAACTTTTATTCACTGATTCTCGGGAATACGATGTAGACCTAGCGAATTGCCCACCGAACGCTTTGCAAAACTTTTAACTATGGATATTTATAAATCAATTGTTTGTAAATGTGAACTGGGAAATTGTAGATCCGTGTCTAATCTGTGACTCAAATGCATAAAAAATGTTTATCGGAAAGCAGGTTAAAAAACTCAATCTTTTTTCCAAACATAAAATGTCCTTAGTATTTTTGTGGTACTCACTAGTTATGCAACTCATTTAGCTGATTGGTCAGTTAGAAATTATCGCCAGTGCCTCGATTATCATATGAATTTATTCTTACGTCAGAAAAAATAGTTTCGTCGATCTTTTCATAATGGGAAAGGCCAGCTAGATTTTACAATTTTTTAAAAACAACATGTGAGCGCAGTTAGGTACATTTTTCTCCTTTCACATATAGATAGATTTCAATAAAAGGCAGTGACCAGCCAAAGGAGAAAAATGTACCTACTCGCGCTCGTATATTTTAAGGGCTTCAAAGAGTGGGGCGGGGCCAAAATTCAATAGGAATTGGATGTAAACATGGTACCCCTACTCAAAATAAAGACATATATCTTCCAAATCATGTTTCTGTTTTCGGTAAAAGTGGTATTTTATGAGAGTATACTAATCAGTGATTAAATGCATGCAAAAATTAGAGTAAAATTTAGATATTTAATTTTTTGTCAATTTACCGGGGGCCGTATGTCACATCATCCTTTAGACCTGTACTCTGCACTTAGGGCCTTTCAGCAATGAGGGATCTTTTTGTGCCGTGCCAGCACCTACTGCAACACGGGACCTCGGTTTATATGGTCCATTCCGAAGGACCGGTTTCCATGTCGCACAGTGGATTCGAACCCGCAACGTAATGATCAACTCCTTAAGCAGCGACTCTATAGCAAACGCTCTAACTACTGCGCCATTTACTATCTTAATATCATCAAATTGAATGACATTAAGCACTCTGGAGACTTCGTAATCTGTTCTGTAGAGGACCTTCAGGAATTTTATTTTTAGTGTAACAGCTATATAAACGAATTACTGCATATCAAAGTTTGTTCAAATGGTCCCTTGCAGTAGAATGGGGTCTAACAGGGTTCAAGCTTAATGGTCTCTCACAATGGATGTGATATCAAGAATTAGAGAAGATTTTCATAGATATTGTATACAAGTATTTTTTTTAAATAGATGTTCATTATATTTTAACAACCCTGCCGCAAGGCTATTGAATATGAATTTCATGACTCTGGTTAGAAGACACATCGTTGAATTTGATATCTGTTTTCCTAGAGGATTGCTGATCAGAAATGCCCATGAGCATTACGCTTCAATGTCACCCCCAAAAAATATTAATTTTAATGTTGCACGTTGCGTGTTTACCATGATAAAACATGTCTTTTCAAATTGCTTGTGATTGGCGTCGTTTTGTATTTAGTTTAAGCATCTGTTTCCAAACAGGTGACCTAAAAAAGATTCCTAACATCCATGTTAACATCTTTTAATATAGAAGTATTTCAATATAGCTTGACTTCATTCACTTGAAATTTGAACAAACTCGTATAATTTGGCTTCCTGGACTACATGCAATTTTTTTAGGATACTGGGTTCATATAGAAAGAAGTTCAAAGAACATCATCTGAACACTGTAACATGTAGATGTATTACGAACAGCACAGTTTAGACCTTTTCTGGGTGAGCCTCATTTGCAAGTTTAACTGCAAAAAAAAAAAAAAAAAAAATAGTGAGAATTCCTTTGTCAAACATTCAGTTTAGTTTTCGAAACAATGTCTCTATCCATGTCTAACTCATCGGGTTCGATGTACGGATAATCATAATCCCCAATGAAATCATCTTCACCATCGTCAAATATATCATCAGTGACGTAATCCGTCTGAGATTTATCATCGTCGGCATCGTAATCCCAGTCATCATCCACTCGACGAATATTTTGATAACTTAAGAATTCCTTTTCTTTCAAGTCGACAACCTTGTCTTCTTCATAAAAATCTTCAAACTGTTCATAGCCTTCTTCATACGCAGCGCCATCCTCTTGTGCATAGTCCTTGACCCCAGCTTCCGCTTTGGTCTTTAGTACCGATTCGGTTATTCCGAATTGCCTCCTCATTTCCCTCATTTGTTCACTCGGTCGCCTCTTTTGTAACTGAATTTCACGTTCTTGACGAAGTTTCTCTGCATCCGCCCGGCGCTTTAACACTTCTTTCTCATCTTCGCTAGAATCTCTTCAAAAGGAAAGAATAATAACACTATATATAACATTTTAAATTATTGTTCTGCATCATGAATTTCAAATATTTATAAAATGCAATAAGAGAAATATTTTTCAGAGCAAAATTGAATCGCTTGAATCGCTATCCTTTTCAGAATAGACTAAGTTTGTTGTATATTTTTAATAAATTTTCTAGTGAACTGGAACACTTAATTTACAGACAACAGCAGTTTCATAACGCTGCGTTTAATAACAGTTTTATTTTGGACTGTTTGACTTCAAAATTTTTTTAGAACAATAAACAGTTTTTGACTTAAGGTTAAGATGTTTCATAATCCTGGGGCCTGGAGTTAACAAAGCTGTGAGTTGTTGCAACACAATATGTACATAGACAGGATCTTTAATGTAGTTTAGTTAATATCGGCAGTGATTAAAAAAATACGCGTTACCTTGAAATAATAAAATTAATATATATTGGTCTGCCCACTATTGATCATCGTCGCAAAGCCACGGATTTTGTGTGGAAAGCGATTAATAGGGATTTTGTGTGGAAAGAGATTAATAGAATGGAACAAAACCCGTGGCTTTGCGACGATGATTATTGATATGTTTTTTTCTCCTTTTTTCTTCTTTTTTATACTATAAAAAATATTGATCCGCTCATAAATTACCTTTCCTCGCTGATGTCAGAGTGATCTCCATAGTCAACAGGATTCATACATACAGTACACATGTTGTTAAGATCAGTGAAACAGTCAAAACAATATACGGCTGAAAATATAATACCAACTATAAATAAATACATTTTTTAACTAAATAAAAAAAACCAAAGAAAAAAGTTGTGATATCAGTGTACATATCGGAACATTATGCTTGAGAAGTCCTATAGCTACATGTAGTAAGACATTTTTAAAATGCAGAAAGTACAATGTTTTAAAACTTTTAAAGAAACTTATTAGATGTGTTATAAAAAAAATCAAAAATTTCTATGGACTAATTCATAAAATGAGAAAGTTTATATTTGAATTGGCATTAAGACTGATAAAATCTACAATAAAACGGTACATAATTTAAGCAAAAGAGTGGGTTTTTTGACTTGGGAGAAGAGAAATTTGTAGAGTCGGAATTGTATACTTCGAAATAGCATTTAATTATCGTTGAAACTAGATTCAAAGTTTTATTTCCGCCCTCTTTTTAACAATGTTTATTTCTACTAAAGGAAAACCACTAAATTAAATGATAAACATGCCTGTGCAGTCTTTATTTTGACAATGGTAGAAATTCACGTTATCATCAAATCGACCCTCATTTCCACACGACAAACAATGTTTCCTTTTGAATCCAAGAAAACTGAAAAACCTCCTACAGAGTGGAAATCTACAATGGAAATTTTTATCAATTTTGAATATTCTTTTTTGAAAAAAAAAATAAATAAATAACTCGCTACTCTCGAGTCCTCATTCAATACACAATTGATAAGTGATGCTCCATTGTTCTCAGATTTATTTTTTTCATATTTATCTTTTTTATTTATTATTAATTGACCCACTTAATAATTCTAATCTACATATTTATTTATGCATTTTTTTCTTTAGTGATGCCAAATTATAATTCATATTTCTTGCTAAATTAATTGCACGCACTTAAAGTTTCATTTAACATTGTTTTTTAACATGATCTAATGAACTATTTCATATTTGAAATCCAAAATAAAATCTTACTGTGCCATTAATCTACTTCTTATACTAATCTTTTCCTCCTCTTTCAAAACCCCGGCTTTTCTTCTAAGCTGCCGCCTTGCAAATTTTAGGAATCCGCCTCTAGTTTTCAGTATATGGTTATAGAGCCAGACTGCTCGCGCTCTCTCCCGCCTAGGATAGTAACACGCCCCAATCACGTGACGTAACCTCAAGCCGTAAGCTTGAAAGATGGTCATGAACAGGCATAAAAGATAAATATAGCCTGAAAACATCAATTCAGTGATTAAGCTCATATAAAAATGCAACCAAAATTGGATATTTCAATCCGATTGCTACAAACTTGTATAAATCTTTTATTCGATCTTCACATATTAATGATTTAAAAATGATATTTCTTAAAATTTACTACCGAATTTTACTTTAAAGATTTCTAAATAAAACTAAAAAGTATGCTTGAAACACGGTTCCAAAAAAAGTACCTATTTGTTTGTAAATTCGAAAGTTTGGTGTGCTTGGGGTAGGGATGCAACCAGCCGGTTTCAAGCTACCGCCCTCCATTGCCAGAGGGTCAAATGACGTCAGCAATGACCTGTACATGTCTGACACGGAACCTTTTCCGTGGACGTGAATTTTCAAATGCGGTGGGACTGTAAGAGATGAAGAGATTTATTATAGTTATATGAATGTCAGAAAAAAAGTAAAATAAAAATAAAAAAAAATCAATTATTTTTTGTTATACTTTCTCAAGATGCTGTTGAAGTACTATGAGGTATAGATGCGATCATAAAATCACTTTCATATTGTAGCAATTTTGAAATTCTTCTTCAATTCTAGTCAACTTATTGTCAAGTAACAAGAACGCATATAAAACATAAAGAAAATGCATATTCCTTTTTTTTGTTCGTTTGTTTATTTTTTGTTTTTGTTTTTGTTTTTTGTTTTGTGCATCTAGCGGTTATTTTCAGTTATATTTCAACAATATTAAAAAAAAAGGGGGGGGGACGAACAAACAAAACAAAACAAAACACGATTCATGGTGCACAAGTACGTTTCCATCAATTGACGCTTTAAATATACATGTATATACCTTCAAGATATTTGAAACATTTTAATTTCTGGAAACTAATGACAAAAAAAATACCAACAGTACACCTAGTAAATATAAAAAAAATCTTGGACTAGATATTAATATACAAATATTTGAAGCTGTACATACATTTATAGCAGCAACAAAACGATTTATATAAACAATGTCATATACATATGTGGTATATTGTAATATTTTCAATATCTCCAAACCGGTACTACTTTGTACTCTTGCTTATTTTTTTTTTTTATTTTTTATTAATTTTCTTTTTTTTTTCCTTTTGCAATTTTGCTTCTTTTGCTTTCTGTAACTTTGTTCATGTTTGTTTTTGCTTTCTTCTTTTGTACATTCTTACTTTTGCTTTAATAATTTATTTACTATGTATTTGCCTTGACCTTGATGTAGGGAGAGGGCTAAAATAGGCTGAGCCTGCTGCCCAATCCTATTCACTCTTACATCTGTGAATAAAATATTGTTTAAATTTAAAAATATAAAAAAAAAGACATACTAGGAGCTGCAATCTTTTTGGAAAAGAATCCTTTTAACATGTTGAGTATCCAATATAGTCCGTAGTCACAGAGGAGATAGAAGCCCGTATGACAACCGCTAATCAGAAGAAGGAACAGGCCCTTAGCCAAGGCTTTTATTTCCCTCATAGCCATCCCAACTGATCCTATAAAGAGAATGTTTGTGGAAAAAAGAATAGTGTGTATAAGATGCTGACGGGTGTAAAATTTGTTTTAGACTAGCACTTGTTCCGATAAAAAACTTACAACAAATTAAATTTCTTTTAAACTAGCACTTGTTCCGATTAAAAAATTACAGCAAATTAAATGTATGACATTTAGATAGTTCAGTTTGACACAATTACTAACAAGCATCGCGCTGTATTGATAGTTTGATATGAAACAATTACGAACAAACAAGTAATCCTTTACATTTTACGTACTAGGATATTCCAGTCTGTCGCTTGCGCGTAAAATTGTGTTTAAAATGGGGTGGGAAAAGGGTTCGGGGTGACAAAGGAAAAAAAAGTAATGAATGAACTAATGAGTTAAAAAAAAATAGCCCCCCCCCCCATTTGAATTACATGTAATAACTGAAAAGTATTGCAAGAGAAATCATCTGAAGATTTATTTAGTCGTAAGTATTTACACTCTTCCTAATAATTAATAATGAATTAATTAAGCAAGAAAACCGGACTCAATACGATGCTTCCAATACTTACTTGTTTTTACGTATTTTTTCTCTTCCTTCCAAGTGAGCGGAAATATTCCTTCCTTTCCCAGCTCTATTCGCCGTTCCTCTACGTCTCGTAATTTAAACGTTATATAGATGTTATCAAATTTGTCGTTTGTCTGAAATTTTCTCTTATAAATGAGAGCCCTGAAAAAGAATAATGCCACCAGGTACAGAATAAATTAAGGGATCAGCATCAGATTCCCCAAATCGCATCCTCTTGCGACTTTCGAAGTCGTTTTTCCGCTGATCGGAAAGGTCGGAAAAGAAGCGATTGCAGATTCCCCCTAATAACAAGCTTCAACAATCAGAGCTCCAGATAAGGTGCGTATTTGCAGAAATACGCATTGAATTTTACAAAATACGCATTGAAAATTGAAACTGGGCGTGCGGTCGTAAAAATATAAGCATCACACTACGAAAATGCTGCGTACGACGGATTAAATAACACAAGTACGACTTAGCTTTTGATATGAATTTAGGTTAGCTCATTATTTGATTTTCCCCCCAAACGAAATAAGAATTTAAAAACGTTTTGATAACTAGGACTATCCTAAGTTAGGGCTACGATGATTTCCAGTTCGGGAGAAAGAATTCAATGATTTAGATTAAAATCGATTTCTTTATATAGAAAGACTACGCACTAGGCATAATTACTTTTAAGCACACAAAAGCTTGTGTCGTCTATGTAAGATGATATTGTAATAAGTGTATAAGTGATAGAAAACAATTTTAGAAAACAATGGATAATTGGAGAAAAAAAAGAGTCCTGGCCGGAGAGAAAAGTTTATACTGCAATGTCATCAAAGAGTACACTATGTGTAAAAAAAAAAAAAAAAAAAAAAAAAAAAAAGCAGTGAAGACCATATTATATCGAAAAACAAAACGAGCTCTGTTTAAATTCAAGACCTATTAAATAAAGTGCTGTAGAGAGAGACATTACGCATAATATGTATTTGAATATAATGATTAAGACTTTTCTTATATTCTCAAGAGGTCTCTCTGGTTCTCTGTTTAGTAGGACGGTTACACAAGGTTTGCATATAACGTTTTTTATGATGGCTTCATTGACAATTTCTGATTTCTCTCGTTATTTTTTTTTAATCTCGGTTTACTCTTGACTTGCTACGATATCATCTTAAATGGAGAAAAAAAAAATATGTGTCTATGGTTGCTTTACCTACTGTATGATCTTCCTTGTCAAAAAAAGTTTCTCAGGTTTAGCAAAAATCTTGTTAGTATTTTTTAAAATTTTATTTAAATAAATCCAGGAACTGTTGTAGTGTTTTCTTTCCTCTTTTAAAAAACCTTTATTTCCATAATAAGCTCAGAATTACAATATATATCAGAACATTAATATAGATGTATTAACAAAATACTCTTAAATCATTTTGCTGAATATAAAAATCTGCATTGATTTGAAAATCAGGGAATAAATACACTTTGGGCTAAAATATTATCTGGAACTCTGAATAATTCTAGAATTGACCCTTTCCAAATAAAGCAGTCATGTTAAATAATTTATTTGATAGAATATAATATCTCCAAAAGACAAATACTCTTCCGCAATATGTGCATCGGGAACCATTATCAATTACTTAATGTATTTCGTTTTGATATGACCAACCTGTCTACTCTTCCCTCTCAATAAAGAGCAGTTTTTATATCTGCGCATGCGTCATACTTTGTTCTGAAATGAACTCACTTGATTACAACAAAGATAAGAGACACCATCGTGACATTCTTGAGGAGACCGAGGACGAAGACGTAGCCAGACAGACGGTCATTGACGTCCTTGAGAATGCCCTCCTTGACCTCTGTGTAGGATTTTGATTGGGTGGCGTTGTACTCGTACGTGTAATTAAGAGTGACGTTAAAATAAAACATATTCTTAACGTCTGTAATGGCACTTTTTATGGCTGAAAATAAAAAAAAAACATTTATTTTTATTTCAGTTTTTTCTAAATTTATTTTTTAAGGGGGGGGGGGGGGGGGCTTTGATAGGGAAGCGAGAGTGACAGTGAAAGATCGCAAGAATGCGATTGTCCTCTGTTTTTGAAAATTGGAGGAAGGGGTGGCTTTTGGTGGGAAATCGAATGACAGTGAGAGATAGCAAGAATGCGGGTACGACAATCTGAAGCTTGCAAGAGTAACCCTCTGACCCTATGGCTCTCACATTTCCCCAACTTTGTCCACAGGTGCTTGAGGACAGGACCCCCCACCCCCACCCCCCGATATAGACCCCCGGGCCTGTTCGACTTTTTTCTCATAAATCATCTTTCAATGACATATTTGTGGTATAATCTATACCAACAATTCGAAAAATTACCTAAAACAAACATTTTATAAAATCTACCCCACTCTCTATATATAAATTTATATATATAGGGTAGGGTAGTAATTTTTATAAAATGTTTGTTTAAGTCAATTTTCCGAATTGATGATATAGAGATTATATCACAAATGTGTCATCCATATATAATTTATGAGAACAAAAGTCGAACAGGCCCGGGGGTCAATATCGGGAGGGGAGGGGGGGGGGTCCTGTCCTCAAGCACCTGTGACTTTGTCGCTATAGCTTGTTTCCTTTTCATCCCAAGTGACTCGCAGGATGTAGATAAAACATTTGTTTTTGTGAGATTAATGAGTTTTTTTCAACGTACGAAAACTCTTTTTTTTTTCTCTTTCTCTCAAACCTATAGTTTACATACTTACGCGTATATATAGCAGCATCTGCAAGCGCCTTAATTGCTGCAGCTATCGCACACAGCAACTCCCCAACTGATGGAAAAATATAAAAAAAAAAGACAAATGATGTGATAACAGTACATGTATGTATTTGAATCTGTTCTATTAGCTTACACTGCCTATATAAATCATGGATATAGAGTATTTCAATCTGATTAAAATCAGATCCTCGATCCCCTCCTTTATTGTGTAGCGACAATAAAAAAAAATAAAGGAGCGGATCAAGGATCTGATTTTAATCAAATTGAAGTGTTTAATTTTGCAAAAAATATCTTGATGAAATGAATTACGATGAAAGATGGTATGCATAGACTAGGAAAAATTCATTAGAAAATACTAGTCAAGAAGACTGCTGAAGGATTAAAATCATGTACACGGCAATTCTTTTGTGTGACTTACAAGTAGTCTTAAAATGTGCAGTAGAGCGTTCGCTCCGTGATCGGAAGGTCGTGTGTTCGAATCACTTCCGCGACTGACCTAGTCGATAAAAAAATAGGTAGCAACTGCTCCTTCGCCAAGCGCTCGATACTTTGAAGTGAAAGTTTCGGGTCCTTCGAAACCGAAGCCCAGTGTCACGGTAGGCGTTAGCACGATAAGGAACCCTCTCTGCTCGATGGCCCCTAATACCGAGTAAAGGTCTAAATTTGAAGCCCTTCACCGGTATATGGTGACGTCTCTGAATGAAAAAATTCTCGAACGGGACGTAAAACAACATACAATCAATCAATAAAATGTGCATTTATTCAGTTTTACGTTTTTGTAAAATTAAAGATAGATTTTATTTAAAACATGCACGTAAAGAAACAGCGTTATCTTTTTACACAAATAAAGCCTCGTAAAAGAAATTAAACCTTTCTTAAGATGATGATAAAAAAAAAATTAAAAAACCCAGAAAAATAGTAAAAATAAATACCACATCTATTTCAATGTTTACAGAATCAAAAGTACATTTGTACTTACTTCTTGCTATATTACAAACAACCGAAGCTGCCTCCACGATAATACATATCCAGCTAAGGAACCACCCAAGTGAATCCCTGAAATGGTATTTTATTATACATGTAATTATATCGGCAGAAAAAAAATGGAGTTAAATAATTTAGAAAGACTACTATAACATACTGCTACAGTAAGATTAAGAAGGGGGAGGCAGTAAGCCTTGAATTCCCAGACAAAAAGCAGATAACTTTTTAAAATAAAAAGGGGGCACCTCCATTTGATCCCTGTACTATAGGCATGGAGAGAGAGAGAGAGAGAGAGAGACTAACCTGCAACTCATTTCTGCATTGTGAAAGATACCTTTACATCGTCTGTAAGGCGCACTCATTCGTTCGTCACAGATTTTAAATATGCTTCCGATCCACTTTGCAACTTTCTTAAACAGCGCAGCTATGTATAGGGTTAAAACATTTTATGATAAATTGCAAAATACTGATAAGTTATAGGATGTACGTGGAGATGCATACTAGTTACATGATCAGATGACAGTGATGCTGATGACGACGACGATGATGACGATTATAATGACAACACTGATTCTTGATTACGATCACTTACCTATTTCCTGTATGGCTGTTTTGAGGGCATTGAAAGCATCTCGTATGGATTCAGCAAATCGTTTCAGTGCTTTGATTGTTGCTCTAATAGTTCCCAGGGCCCCTATTAAAACATGGAAAATTGTGAAATGTAAACCATGTAAAATTTGACATGTAAAAAGTTTACTGTTATACTTGTACATATTGCATTCCCTACAGTAGAATGTATAATTGTAATTATTAAGAGCGGGGGGGGGGATGTTAGATATAGTTTGCAAATAGCCTTACCGTAACAATAATTAAGGTCGATTAGACGCTTACAGCTGTTTTGAATCAATATTGTCACAATTGTCCTATTCCCCTTTTTTTGAATATTAATACGTGTACAAGTCGTTTTAAATATTAATACATGTACAAATCGTAATGATGTGAATGCCGATGAAACTATAAAAAAAAAGTTATCTGGACCTTGTTATTGATTATCTTGAAAATAATTAAGTTCTGTCAAATAAATATATATATAAATACATATCAAAATCATATCACCGCCGAAGCACTAGATTAGTGTCAATTGATTTGAGGTACGTGGCTGATGGGAGCCACTCTCTTGGAAACTTGTGTCATTTATCGAAAAAATAAGAATAATTAAAACGGGTTATCATATATGAAGAATCCCGCCCACGCTCCATCTTTTTGATATTATAAGAACCTACCTGCGAGTGGATTGGATATTTTATCCATTACTTCCTTTGACTGATTGTACGCCAGTTCCTGTCCACATGTAATGCTGTTTGACATGATCTTGATGTTTTTGTTGAAGTTGGCGGCGGGATACGTCATCACCAGAATTACGGCGTATAACAGTAAGAAAGAGCGCCCCTTGCCTGCAATATATATATATATATATATATATATATATATATATATATATATATATATATATATATATATATATATATATATATATATATATATATATACACTGCATAACGTATATAAAAATAGCAAATTGATTTTTTTAGATAATTTAAGAATTATTTAATCATTAATTTAGTTTCTTTTTGCAATTATTATAATATACACTAAGCTTAAATCGTTAATCTGAATATTTGCTCCCCCCACCCCCCAAAAAAGTCCGGATTAATGAAGCATCCTGATAAATGGAAAGTACATGTACTTTTGATAATTCATAAATATAAAATATAATTTCTGTTCCCCAAAATTTTCGTTCGGAAGGTGAAGCACCCATATTAACGGGGCTCCACTGTAATTAAGTTTGTCTTAACCCCCCTCTCCCCGAATCCGTATCTGTTTTTGGGGCCCTATATCCCTGTAATACTTCACGTTAAATTCCTTGTAGCTAGCTTGGAGGCACTTGATTAAAAAGATCTTGACTTAAGCTTAAGATCCTACAACCGTAATCTATTAAATAGGCTGTCAGCAAAGAAATGACGAGGAGACTGCGGATCAAAATAGTTAGGGTGTTCAATCATTTGTAGCCAACATTGACTTTAAGGGTGTTTTCCCTTAAAAAAGGTCCGGGATTTTCTCATAAACTATTTCTCAAACATTAAAAGGACGCCTGAATTTTTCAAGGTTATTATATCAAATAGCTTTACATTAAAATTGACACTATGAAACATGAAAACATGTGTACATTAACTTACTTGAGAAGAATTGCGGTACCATCAAAAGTATAACACATCGCACCTCCATAGAGAAAGCCAAACCAAGCGTAAAAATGGGGCTTAAGATGACTCCGATTGTCAAAGCAACGGGCGGTTCATACTTAGACTGGAAGATCATCACTAGATACAGGAACACGCCCAGAAAAATGCCGCTAAAGAAACCTGGAAAGATCGATGCAAATCAAATCATTGTTATGTTGAAAGAGAGATTACTCGAGTGAAAAAAAGAATGTGTAATTATCGGATATCACTTTTATTTTTGTCGTACATGTACATCTAGTACCCGGAAAAAAAAAAAATCATTGTACCTCTGTATCAATATGTGTATCTTTCACCCTGCCCGGGAAAAATACACTGGAATTTAGCAAGAATATTTTAAAAAGAAATTAATGAAAATGCCGGGGAAACATTCTTTCAGTTGGAAAAAACGGTATTTTTTTTTATACCGGCCTTCAAAACGACATGTATGTATCTTTCTTCTTTTGAATAAATGTTTGTTAAACTTATCTATGATAATAAAGTAATACCGGAATGGAGTAAAAAGGATTAAAGAAAAAAGTGTATGGGATTCTCAGTTCTGTTAAAATAAAGAAATTCTGTTAAAAAAAAGAAAAAAAAAGAAAGTCGCTAGCTTCCATTTAAATATTCATGTTTATTCATGCACGTATTTATCTATTTATTTTATTTCATTTATTTCTTTATTGATTCATAAAATTATATATTCTCGATTTACCTAGAAAGTGCTTTAACATCTCGTGTTCGTGTGTGCCCGCATGGAACATCCGTCTACATCCGGAACTCGGAACCTCTCTAACTCTCAGGTGTCTATTCCTGTCATAGATACAACAGGGGCAGAACAACTCGATCAGGAACTGACGTATTCTCCGGAATAACCAGATAGTAATTCTCTCATACCTGTCACATAAAACAGTACATCCAAGGAGCGGATCCAAGAAAATTAGAGTTCATTTAGTCGCAAACTGGCTATTTTTGATAATATTAGAAAAATTTGTAAATTTCGCATATATAGTTTTCGAAATGTACTAAAAATAACTCCCCCCCCCTCTCCCCTATCTCAAGAAAATACCATGTGGTATAAGAAAAATACCGTAATGCCTTTAAATTTACACTGAACCTTTTTTTTTAAATTAAAGTTTTACTACGCTCCCGGCTCCCCTTGGATTAAGGGAATTATGGGGGAAAGCAGGCCACCCACCACTTGGCCACATTACATGTTTCTTCAAACTCACACATGTTTGAATCCTAATAACAGTAAAAAGCGAACTTATTGTTTTTAAAATAAGACATATTAACAAAACAAACTGTAAGAAGAGGGAAAAAAATCTTGATCCATCCCTGTGATAAACATAATAATATGAATATTGTCTGGATTTTTAACACTGATTGACTTCACTTAGCTGCAGTGTACCTCTAGATCTGCAATTATGATTGAACATTACACGAGACCTGGCCGTAGGAACCGGGGGGAGGGGGGGGCACGGGGGGGGGGCCGTGCCTCACCCCCCCCCCCCCCCCCCAATAATTTTGCCGATATATAGAGTACGCCTTATGAAGAATATGCACGTAATCACAAGTCACTGGGCAATGATAGATTTTTCAGTATATTGTAATGCCATGTCCGTGACATAAGTTTGGCCTAAGTTTCCCTAACATAAGTGAACTTACCAAGGGATGATAGGTGGATACCCATAGTGGAGACGAACACCATTTTCCTTCGCGCGAGACAGACGCATCAGCGCTAACTTTATCTTGATCATCTTAATAATCATTCGTGGATCCGACATTTTGTTGGTTTGTTCGTGCTTTTACTACAGTATGTCTTCTGTTTACTTTTGGCACAAAATGCCGGTGACGTCACAGTGGAGAAAATTACGTCATTTCATCAAGTAGAACAAGTGAAAAATAATTTTCTTCGATAGGTTCTTTGTCCCATGATATTCTTTTCGAAGCAGGCGTATTTTCCCCATAATTATCTGCTCTCCATTTGTAAATGTATTCAGGATTTTGAAATGTAATTATCAATAAAAATTTTTAAGGTCCGTCAGCCCTACATTTTCAACGTCTTGAATAAAAAATGAAGAGAATATTGTATAAAAATATTATTTATTGTACAAAGAACTATTATTTATAGAAATCATGAATAGATACATGTGTATATGTGCATATATTTCAGAATAATTTAGGACAAAGAGAAAAAAAAAAACTTAAATAAACCTAAATTGCTATAAATCAAATCACATTTTCCCCCTTATGACTTGTCTATCACTTAGACTCTTTCACTTCAATCATAAGCAACTTACACTGTGTCCTATATCAGATTCTTTTAGGGTCCATTTGAATAGATCCCAAATTGCATTATTATTTATTATGAAAATAATTTACCATATATTAATTTAAATACAAATATAATTAAGAGTCCCGCGTCAACATCCCGATATTGGTATAGATCGGCAACAATTATCTTTATGATGTAAGTAGATCTACTGAAAGGCTAAACTCAAATAATAGGAATAGCCCCAAATTTCGTGAAAAGCTTCAGAAAGAAAACAACAACAAAAAATTATTCCTTGTAATCAAACATGATTTATAACTTCCCGTTAAATGTACATTCAAAGGACTATAACTGTTACATCTTTTAAATGTTTATGCATAAAATATCCTCGTCAAAAATTGAAATAAATTAAAGCACATAAATTTTACTCCTTCCACATTTCCTTTAAAAAAGAAAACGTACAGAAAATAGGTTTCTATACTGTAGATGTAAAGTTTACCCACCTGCAGTTTCTATAGGGTTTTGAAAAAAAAAAATACAAGTATATAATTTATATTATTTCCGAACTCTTTCATTATATTTTATTTTTGCACAACCTGCTAATACTTCCAACAGCATCAAACTATAACATTTACCCCCTAATATACGTTACTAAATTATATGAGCAATAAACGTACTGGTATAAGTTATGTACATGTCCCATTCGCATCTTCTCGGGCCTTTCCGGCAAGCTCGAAAAAACACTTGCCATGCAGAAAAACCCGAAAAGTTGCGATTGGCAGATACCCTAAAAGTTGGTTTAACACTGAAGACCCATCTATAGGAATGCTGAAGGATGGATACATTTTGACTGATTTTTCACAAATTTGTACGGGAAATGAAATAATGAAATGCGATAACCCCCCCCCCCCCCACACACACACACACGCCTTCTCCCAATAACAGAATAATAAAAAAAATCTAGAAATACTAAGGAAATGTAAGCCACATGTAAAATTAAAAATGAACTTAATTCTTTTTGTATTCCTTTGTATACAAGTAGAAATAACTATTTTACATTAAACATTATATTTCATTATCCTCAACTCTTTAAATATAATTTACACACGGTACATATAATATTCAAATAAACATTTAAATGTACATGTACTAAATTTGAGAACAATATAATTTAAGTTAACTAACTAAAACAATATTGAATATACTGAAATATTAAACGTCATAACTTTTCGATCTATTATACATAAAATGAGATATTAAGAATTTGTATTGGCGTAAATATTCTCCTCCGTTTTCGTGACCCCCTGTTGTCCTTGAGCATTTTCATAAATGTCATCCTTTTGCGCGGTAAAGAAGTTTGCTACGACTTGACAGCAGCACTGGTATTCGGACTAAAGAAAAAAATAATAACGTGATTAAATGTATCTGTATTCTTTAAATTTCAAGTACTCAAATAAAACATGTTAAATATTTAAACTCATACAAGACAAGTAGGTTTCAATTCAATCACGATCTATGAAAAAAAATGTCGTCAGTTTTGTAAAGATCGAAATAGAATCCAAGTTCCATCACAGCACTTGATAAATTGTTCATTTTTTAGATAATATATAATTATTATTTAAAACCCCTCCTCTCCCCCTACCCCACCCTACCCCTCAGTTGAGGTATTAGTACATCTGCATCGTTCATATTCTGTATAATTAAGGTCTTCCGACTTCCTTCGGAAGACCTTATTGTTTTCCGTCTGTTTTCTATTATTAAGGTCTTCCGACTTCCTTCGGAAGACCTTATTGTTTTCCTTCTGTTTTCTATTATTATTATTATTATTCCACTTTTCATAGTACAGGCGATATCTCAGCTGTGCGTGGTTCAATTCTAAAGATTTTTTCAGGGAAGATGCATCATGAGTATATCTCCAGGGGTGTCCCTCACTTTTTTAAAATTTACTTCCGTTCGCGATTTTTGGGGAAATTTGTATTTTTGAAATGGAATTTTGTCCCCTAATTTTCTCGAGAACGGCTAAAGATATGAAAGTGAAACTCACGGACATGATAGAGCATCACATATAGATATGCTGATCGATCTTTCTTTTTCGTCATTTTTACTTCCGGTAGCGAACGGAAGTGAATTCAAAAATGTTAAATTTGCAACTTTTTTGTTTTTCAATATTTTTCTTTGAAATTTACAGGGTCAATAGAGAGTCTTCTAAAAATTCTATGTGTGTTTTCACAATTTTGATTGATGCATTTATTGCAAAGATATGACCGATCCAAACTTTCTTGTATGTTGTGGGTTCGAATCCTGCTGGAGCGGGAGATTGTTTCTCTTTTTTTTCAGTTGTAAATAATATTTTTCTCCGTGAAGACATGTATGATAGTTTTTGCTTATTTTTAAAAGCTTTGTTAACAGAGATTCTACAGAAATCCTTTAATAATTATGATCTATGTTGAAGACTGTGTTACATAAACGCAAACGAAAAATACTTGCAATAAAGTATTAAATGAAGTGAGATAGCATAGAGTTCTGGAAAAAAGTTCGGTCGGAAGACCACTTGTTGCCCTAGCAACAAGAAACGCATCTAGTTATTATTATTATTCTTTTTTCATAGTACGGCCGATATCTCAGCTGTGAGTGGATGGATTTCAAAGATTTTTTCAGGGAAGATGCATCATGAGAATATCTCCAGACGTGTTTTTCATTTTTTCGAAATTCACTTCCGTTCGCGATTTTTTGGGGAAATTTGTATTTTTGAAATGGAGTTTTGTCCCCTAATTTTCTAAAGAACGATTAAAGATGTGAAAGTGAAACTCACGGACATGGTAGAACATCACATGTAGATATGCTGATCGACCTTTATTTTTCGTCGTTCGTACTTTCGGTCGCAAACGGAAGTGAATTCAAAAATGTTAAATTTTCAACTTTTTTGTTTTTCAATATTTTTCTATCAAATTTACAAGGTTACTAGAGAGACTTCTAAGAATTCTATGTATGTTTTCATCATTTTGATTGATGCATTTATTGCAAAGATATGAACGAACCTAACTTTCTCGTATGTTGTGGGTTCAAATCCTGCTGGGGCGGGAGATTGTTTCTCTCTTTTTTTCAGTTGTAAATAATATTTTTCTCCGTGAAGACATGTTTGATAGTTTTTGCTTATTTTTTTAAAGCTTTGTGAACAGAGATTCTACAGAAATAATTTAATAATTATGATCTATGTTGAAAAAATGTGTTACATGAACGCGAACGAAAAATACCTTCAATAAAGTATTAAATGAAGTGAGATAGCATAGCGTTTTGGAGAAAAGTTCCGTCGGAAGACCACTTGTTGCCCTAGCAACAAGAAACGCATCTAGTTTATTCATATTGTTTGTGTAAAGCTTCCTGTCTTGCTAACACTCGTAACTATTTTTTTTTCATTGATATATGATATTACGTTTGTCTAAATGACATTACAATGGAGTTATTATAATAAAAAAAAATATGTCCTTGTTATGAAAGGGCATACCATAGTAGAAACCATTTCCGGTCTACGCATTTGTAACTGCCGGATTATGGTAAACATGTCCACTTCATTGTCCTGTTGTAGCTGTTGTATGGCGTTATACACAGCGCAGAAAATCCCACAACCTGTAGCACCATCTCTGCCAAAATCAAATACATATATTAAGTACGAAAGAAGTTCATTTCATGAATCGCGAGCTCTAAAATTATCTTCAATTCAAAATGCCGTTTTGCATTATCGTATAACCGCATAATTTGCCAATGCGATGACATAAATGCAGAACTGTTTACTCTTACGATTTCGCAGTATTTTGTACGGATTTTGAGTCCAAAATATATGCTGATCTAGAGGAGAGGGGGATGGGGTGCGGAACCCCCTCCCCCTTAAATTTGCAGGGTTATTAAAAGTATATACTGAAGGAAAGAAAAAAAAAACTTTTTTGGACCTCCTCCCCCCCCCCCCACCCCCGAAAACGTGGACCCCACCACCACCACACGAAATAATTTTTTTCCCGTTTCGGAAATGGATTTTACGGTTTAATACGTTTGGGAAGTGAATCTAGGTTTTTTTTAATTTTTTTTTATTGTGAAGGAATTTTTGGATTGGATTTTTTTTTTGAATTGGATGGACCCCCCCCCCCCCCTTTAGAAAAAAAGAATCTTGGATCCGCGCCTAAAAATACGTCTCACGTTTTGCTATTATGAAAATACGAAAATCAGAAATCGCGTTCATTTGGATTTTAGCAGTTAGTTTCGTTATGACCTGTCTCAGTTTAACGCTTTTTAATCGCTAAAAAGGAGAAAAACTTTAAACACTTAAGTTATGTCGGGTTGCCAAAAAAAAAAAAAAAAAAAAAAAAAAAAAAAAAAAAAAAAACAGGAACCCCTCGAAAGAAAGCAATGTATATGATGTTTTTCTTTGTTTATAAACCATGTTTTCCTAATCAGAAATGTAGTTGTTCTCTGATAAAATATGTAAAATCGATAGAAATTGAGATCTAAGTGGCAAATGTCAAATCTCGCTGGCAGACTGAGAGACAACAATATGAGTTAACAGGTCTGTAACTGCAATTACTGTTATGCTGTTAAATTAGTGCATTTTTCATTCTGATGAGACTAATTTGGCATCCGAGTTAGAACACAGGAGAAATAAATCTCACTATGTTATCATGCGCATGCGTCCAAGCCTAAAATTACACAGAAGTAGTGCATGATTTACTAAAACCAGTAGAGGTTAAAGGTTAATGTAAGTCCCTTAATCTTAAATTAAAGAACAAGCAGTTGAAGCTTATTGCACTTTATCTAATTTATACACAAAAAAGAGCATTGTACATGAGAGTCGTTTTAAGTAAGAATTTCACTTCTTCACTTGCTGTGCTATGACAAATTCACCTTGACAAAACTGCTATTTTGGTCTCCGGATCCTTGACAATCTCCTGAACTTTGTTTAGTAATTCTACAAGCACTTCCTCTTCCGACGGAAGTTTTTCATTACCCTTCCAGTTTAGAATTTCCAACATTTTGACATTGTGCCATTCTGAATCCTTAAAAACAATATGAATAGCATTAACATTAAAAATACCGATCGTCTTGTAAAAACATTTATTAACACGTGAAGAAAAGAAAAATCAAAATGGTATAAAACTGATTCACATTAATTGATAAAATTTAAACACAAAAGGTTGTCTTGTAAACACATTTCGATGAAACGTTAGGAAAAAAAAATCAAAAATAGTATAAAATTGATTCACATTAATTGATAAAATTTCAACACTGCACAGTACCTTGTCATGCTTCATTTTGAGAAAGGTCATCTTGAGCTTGTTTGACAAGCTTTGAACTGCACTAATCTTCGTCTTATATGGAGAAATGCTGCTTTTTTCAGGTGAAGTTGTGAACCACTCTGAAGACTGTGAAGAGAAGTAATAATTGTTGAAACGTATTCCTTGATGTTGTAATGTGTATTAGTGAATGGACGTGTACGAAACAGGGTTTATTTGAATTATGTGCATCTCAAATAAAAAAAAAAAAATTTACATGTATTCTGTTGCAATATTCTGATGAGCGAAATAAGGATATAATAACACGGACATTCTCATACAATCCCTATTAGGTTCCCCAATGCACGTTTTCTCAGAAACTTTCATTAAAATTAATTTTCAACGACATGCATTTTCACCATATAATCATTAGAGCCCCACCCTAACACCAGAATCCCTGACCCAGGGGCCATGAAATTAACAATTTTGGAAGAGGCACCCTTCCTTATCATAACTATCTACATAGTTCATTGGTTTAATACCTAGGAGCAGAGGAGAAGATTTTTAAAGAATTAATGCATTTTCACTATATAGTGTATAATCATTAGAGCCCAGCCCTAACACCAGAACCTCTGACCAAGGGGCCATGAAATTCACAATTTTGGAAGAGGCACACTTCCTGATCATAACCATGTACATACTTAGTAGTTCGTCGGCTTAATACCCAGGAGCAGAGGTGAAGATTTTTAAAGAAATAATGCATTTTCACTATATAATCAACAGGGCCCCGCCCTAGCACCAGAACCCCTGACCCTGGGGCCATGAATTTTACAATTTTGGTAGAGGGCTCAATGCTTATAACAACCATGCTAATAGTTTTACTGCTTGATGTACAGGAGTAAAGAAGAAGATTTTGAAAGATTGCATTAATTTTAGTGGTTTTTGCCCCACCTCTCAGGTCCGGAGGGGGGAGGGGGGGGGCAGGGGCTATGAATTTCACAAATGTTGTTCCCCTTCACCCATAGATGCTATATGCCAAAAAAAGTTGAAATTGGTTGAGCGGTTTCAGAGAAGAAGCTGAAAATGTTCAAATGTTAACGCACGACAGACGACGCACGCCGACGGACGAAAACAGATAGCAATAGGTCACCTGAGTTTACTCAGGTGACCTTAAAAAGTAAACTGACATGAAAATAATTTGTCCCTATTATCTTTTTGTTTTAATTTATTCCTTAAATCTATTTTTTCTGTGCGTGTATTACCTTAGCAATATATATTCTCTTTATTAAGATAAACGAAAGATGATAAAATATACTTCCTTACAGATGCAATGTCTGAGAGTTGGTTGACAGACACCAGGATAGAGCAGTTGTGATCAATGAGCAAGCGCACTAAATCGACGCCGGCGCCCTCTACTGGATACTGTGCAGCAATTAGTCCTTCCCTTAGTGTGTAGGACTGCAAAATCGGAACATCCGTAAGTGTCTTGGATTATGACGCATTTATATATACACAACAGTTAATAAAAATATGAGAGAGAAAAGTATTAATTTAAAGAAAACTAAGCAATCTGTATTTATAAAATAGATTTAATATACCCACCGAAATTGACACTGCGTTGTAGTAGCTTCCCCGCCCACGAACATAGGACGTCAGCAACACTCTAACACTTTCAGCTGTTTTAATGATTGTCACAAAAATAAATACATGTACACATTATGACAATTTATGAATCCCTTAACCAAAAATCTACAGATTTAATTGAGATCCATTTTTATTCATTATATAAATCTCTTTTTTAGGGGCTAGGGTGGGAGAGGGGGGCTTAAACAATTTTGTTCGAAAACATTTACCCATTGGAAGTTTTTTTTAGTTATTACATTGTATGTATCAACATATAAGATTAGCTTAAAATTTATATTATCTTTGATATTAGGAAATTCAATTCTTGGATAGGTAAAATATTCAATTTATTGTTTCTTTCAGGAGATCTTTTTGTCATGATAGTTGTTATTGTTAAAGGAAAAAAAAAAAAGAAAAAAAAGACACAAAATTTATTTTTCATCATTGTATAGCTCCTCTATCTCCGCGTCAGATATACAAACAGTTTTTCCTTAGAATACGTTTACAATATTAATCATTTTGGTATTGCATCTTTACAGATTTCTCTTTCTTACCTGGAAGAACGGTTTTTGTCATATTGAGGTTGATGTTCTCTCTGGCATCTGTTGTGTCTTTCACGTCTATCTCTGGTCTGATTGAAAGCAGCTCCTGCAGAAAGTGAAAGAAATTAGATAATGATGAGAGTTTTTCCCATAGAAACCTAGATACTAATACAAATAAAGAAGGGTTTTGTAAGTGTGGCGAAATCACAAACATTCATTTTTCATTAGGTGATCAATACACAGGGAAAAGTGGCTCGCATGAAATTTGTGTAAATCATATTGTGTCATTTTTTAAATGTATTCAGAAAATTATGCATACGTTTTGAAGATCTTAATTTGACTGTGCAGGTTTGATAGACAATATGAACGTGGCTTTATTGAAGTTTTTGTATTAAGTTGAAAAGACCTCGAGAAGACGTGTTTAAAGGTAAGGTACGTGTTAGCTAATTGTCTTAAAATGCTATTATAGTCTGTCTGCATGGCATGTTCTTTTCCCCTTAATCAAACCATATTTCATAAGTATCATAGAAATTCGTGAAAAAGAGCTATTACTGCGTTGACCCTGGGGTCCACGCAGAAAATATGTAAGCGAGGTTAAACCGGATGCGATGCAGAAATGTAGGAAGTCCTGCGCATGTTAGAATGCTAGAGAGTTCGCCCCTAGGACAACTTGCCCTTAGGGCAATTCGCGTCTCTTGAAAAAAAAAAGAACTCGCCCATCATTGAAAACTCGCTAAAATTCTGTACATTGTATTTATTTTCAGCGTATCCAAATCAAAATCTACTCTTAAGTTGTAAACAAAAATATATTCTACTAAAGTTCTGTCAATTATACATGGTAAAAAAAAATATTTTCCGGTTACCATTGGGTTTCTATAGTACAAGCATTTTAAAAAGGAGGAAGATTTCAGATGTTTTCACAGTTTAAATTAAAAAAACCCAGTTTAATTCGACTATAAAGCTTTAAAAGATATGACATCTCCAGCGTCAGTTTTGTGCATCAAGGCACGTAGGAAGTAATTTCAGTTTGGGAGAGGGCACAAAATAACAAAAATTCTTCACAAGCCAAAAAAAGAAGGTCATCTGACGTTTCTTGAGGGTTAATGACAAAATGAGCTTACATTTTTGTTGTCTTTTTATATAGTTTTTACTGGCAAAACTATAGAGGGGCAGAACTGTATATTAACTTTCTTTTCTATAGTAAAGCATATACTGGCAAAACTATCCCCCTCCTCCCCTGTTCCTGTGGGTCTGATATCGTATACTGTCTTCAACAGTTATGTATCATATCTTCAATAGAAACATCTTCCCTGTCAAGGACAACAACACTGCTTAAAACAGGACAATATCTTAACTCTGACATTTCAAGAGCAAAACATTTCACATATACAGGAAATTATGAAACATGGATGACCAAATATACTTTCAACATTCTAACGTTAAAGGTCAGTGCTACATGTACATTAGATACCTTGATCAAGTATAAATGATATCCAGTTTTAGTAATTAGACTATTAAGTTAAATTATAATGATAAATGCACGTTTCAAGATGAAAAAAAATCTTTTTTACAACATATTTTCTTTATAACACAGACATTTTGGGGATTATGGTCCACATAGTGCAAGTATATTTGAAGGACAACAACTTGTTATATTGTATTTTTGACAATGAAATAAAGCGTTCACTATACTTTGCTAGATGCTAGAATAAAAAAAAAAAAACAAACAAACCAGATGGTCAAAAACATGAAAAATAAATTCATACATTGAATTCCTTCTTGAATTGAGAGGCGTTGGCAGCTTTATCTGACATTAACTGTGATGTCACTTCCTGAATAAACTGTTCCTTCTTCAACAACCTTCCATTGGTCTTGAAAATCTCAAACAGAGCTTTGTACAAGAAAACGTACTGATCCTGAAGATAAAAATTACAGTTTAAAGTTTTACAATTTCGCCCATCCTTTCTAAACACACTGATTAATGATTTGATTAAAGGATTCAAAATTGATGTAATGGAAATCCTCCCTATCAATTAATTTTCGAGGCACGGTTTCATTTTTTATTTATTTTTATTTTCATTTACTTTCAGTATTTTTTGGACATTAAGTACAATAAGTTAATTAAGCATACATATTAATTTTACAATCAGCAAGTCGTAATTAGCTAATAAAGAGTGGACAGAGAAATACCTACGGCATTTTGTATCATGTTCATACGATCTTCTCGCATGATTTTAACGTATTCCACCACGTCTATATTTCCCTCTTTCAGTCCGTGTTTGTACAAGGCGTCTAAAGCGATAAAGGTTCCTGTCCGACCTATACCAGCACTGAAATGCAAGTTGATATTTAAAAAAAAAATTGGGATATTACACTGCTTACGTTGTCTGAATTAGTGTAAGTTTTAGTTTACACAAATGAATCGCACTTGGAAAAAGCACTAGATGGGTAAAGCAACTACATGTATACTTATAGGAACATGCGATGACTTATAACCTTATTGATTTTATTGTATATGACATTTTCAGATTTTCAGGTATTGTATCATTATTCCCTGTACTTTTGTAATGTTCCATAAGATTGAACATTCTAGATACAAGTATTTTGAATTCCACCCCTAACTCCAAAGCAGTTTTTACGTATTTGTTTTATGAATGCTATGATCTATGAGTAGAAAAAGTTAACATCGACATATTAACATGATTTTCGAAACTGCAGCACGAAGTTAAACTGTAGTACAAGTCTGTTCACCAGTTTTCTGCCTCAGTGTAAGGATTGACCCAAAAACGATAAATGTTTGTTTGTATGTTGTTTAACGTCCCTCTCGAGAATTTTTCACTCATATGGAGACGCCACCACTCGCCGGTGGAGAGCTGGAAATTTTGTCCTATACTCGGCACTTACGGCCATTGAGCAGTGAGAGATCTTTTTCGTGCCAGCACCTACTGCGACACGGGACCTCGGTTTATATGGTCTCATCCGAATTGAAGGACCGGTCTCCACGTCCCACAGTGGGATTCGAACCCGTGACGTAAGGATCAACTCCTTACGCCGCGACTCTAGAGCAGACGCTCTAACCACTGCGCCACACGGGCGACTAAAAACGATAAATGAAACGGCGGCAATTAAGGAAACAATCTGCACAGTTTAGCCTTTGCATGTTTTCAACTTCCTTTGTATTATTCCTTGATTATGAAAAGTTTATTTGACAAAATGGAGTATACATTGCATACATCTTACCTGCAGTGCACAGCTAGTAGGCTCTCGGGATACCTCTGCCTCAAGCGCATGACATGACGATAAAAGACGAGGAGTTCTATCGGCGAAGGAGTTCCATGGTCGGGCCAAGCCATGAATTGAACCTGAATCACTGTCTTCACAACGTTTGTCTGCCGTAAATGATGATCAAAAGTAAGGTTGACATTGAGGAAAGAGCAACATTTAACTGATAACTAAAAATCCTTACAACTACAGCTGGTAGATATTGTTAATGTAAACAAGAGGCAAGGGCTTAATGGCCACCTGAGTATAATACAATCCTGTTGAGAATCCAGGGATGGAAAATAATTATATAACACAAAATAAACTGGAACTTAAAAAAAGTGAAATGAAGGCCAGGGATCAATAAAATAGTTTGTCAGATATTCCGCAACAAGTCGGAAATATGCCTGCATAGGTCAGTGCTGTTTACCCTCTCTCACTATCGGAAATATAACAATACAATTATGCACAATATGCACAGTGCATCCAGTAAAATCCCCAAACCAAAATGGTTTATCTTGATCTTTGACTTAGGTACATTTATATGTTATTTTTGTGTCTTTTTTATTCATCTTTTATTTATGAGTGTTAATGTCTACTTGTTCATCATAACAATGCACTTAGTATTCTTAATATCTAGGAGAAGAAGAGACGATTTTTTTTACCCTTTTGCCACGATTTTCACAGTTTTGGTAGAGGGCTTATTACAATCATGCCAGCAGTGTGACTAATTGATGTTCAGGTGTAAAAAAGCTGATTTTCAAAAGAAATAATGCATCAAATTTCATTGTTTTTAGCTCAGTTGTTCAGGGCTTAAAGTGCAGGGACAATGAAATTAACAATATTAAATTCCCGATCATCCATAAATGAAATATGCTAAATCGGTTCAGCACTTCCAGAGAAGCTGAAATTGTTCAAATATTAAGGCATGATGAACATTGCACGGCGACGGACGAAAACATATGGGTAACCTGAATGACTTGACCTAAATAATCGTAGGTGTGTTTGATATTCCCAATTTAAAATTGTTGAGATTCGTGGAATAAATGTTAGATAAAAGGAGATTTTGATTAGAAACAACATGCATATCCCAGAAAAGTTTAGATGTTAAAAAAAGAGAACAGGAAAACAAAATTACATTGTATATATCTCTTCAAAGAAAATCAGGTAAATCTCAAAACATATCTCGTAATTGGATAAAGAACTTTCCAATATTAACCAATAGTTGCCTTGTTGGTACACATCTGACCTTTTTATTTGTAATGTTAATGACACGCTGTGTGTAGTTTGCATAGTCCTTCTGTGACATCAGCTGAAGACAAAATTGTCCTGACGTCATCTGATCACCTTGTCCGGGCCAATACTGCTCACACTTAATCTATTTAAAACAATCAAAGAGGCAATCAATCCATCATTTTTTTGTGACACATTGATGATAGAACTATACATTAAATATTTTATATATTGAGTACTGGCATAATGCAGATACAGTTTGTTTCGGTAAAAAAACGAGAAAAAAGTTTTCGGTAAAAATAGTGCTTTTCATCTGCTTAAAACATTTTTTTCAAACGATAAATTAGTCTTATTCTGCGAACAACATGTTTGCATGATGGCCAAATATGTAACAGGAAAGGAGAAAATGTATGGCTGGACCGGGAACCAGGGATCCCTGCATCACTAGTCAGGTGCTTTACCGACTGAGCTACCTAGGCCCAAACCATTACATTCCTCCCTCTTTAAATTGTCTTCGCCCTCGAAGACCCAACCCAAGTTCTCATTTGCCCCTGGCAGGACTTTCACTTGCAAGTCCAGGGGTTGTAAACGGCACCAAATCTGTAACAGGACCATTTGATGGTCACATATCAGTATTTTGAAAACTCCGTTATTTCTCTGACTTGGAAAAAAAGTTTCAGACTGAATAAAATATGGACGAAACGAACAGCAACAAGCTCATAAGGCCACTGAAACAGTACAAATTGGGAGCAGAGGAAACATTGACCCACCAAAACACCAGAGATGGGATTAGATGCCATGAAGGAGTCGGCATCCCCTGTCGACCTGTCACACCCGCCGTGTGCTCCTTGTCATGATCGGGCAAACGAAAAAAATCCGTAGACAACTCAAAATCTAAATAACGGGCTAAAATTTATATTGAAAAACGTCAACCATCATTCCACTTAATTTATAATTTTTTTTTTTTTTTTGCTGACATCGTATCGACCATGGAATTCTCAAAATGTTGGGTTTAAACCAGATTGTTGATATATAGGGTGTCCGAAAAGAAAGGTAACACTTTCATACTTTTGAAATGCTGATTTAATGTTGAAGAATTTATATAAAAATATGTACACATATAAAACAAAGATGTAAGTTTGTTCTGGTAGCATAATTTAGTTAACATGTCAAATAATGTAATTTTTACAGCATTTTAAATACAGAGTACCTTTTTTTCATTTCAGTAATTAATGACGTTCTTCAATGAACGTCCTTTCATCAGTTTCCCTTCTCTAACTCGCACTTTGAAATTGTTTTAACATTTGTACACATTTCTTCACTGATCTTCTTAACTTATCGTTTGATGTTTGACAAAAGCATATTTATGTCCACCGGTTTTGGTCTGTAAACAGAAGACTTGAGGTACCCCCGAGAAAGTAATCTCTCAGGTTCAAATCAGGACTGTGCGCAGGCCAAGATAGTCCACAATCCTTCACTTCAGGGTATCGTCGGGAAATCACCTTGTCACCAAAGATTTCAAAAAGATAATCTAATACAATACTAGATGTATGTGATGTTGCACCATCTTGCATGAACAAGACATTTTGCACATTTAATGTTCGCTTTCGAAGCGCAGGAACAAATTTGTTTTTCAAAGTGACAGGTATGTGAATTAACAGTGTCTGTAAACACATATGTGCCAATCGATCTATGTGACGATATAGCACACCAAACAGTTAACTTTTCAGTGTGCAGTGGCCTCTCCGTGTAACAATGAGGCTGTTCATTTCCCCAGAATCTCATGATTTGTTTACATATATGGTCAGACAGGAGGAAATGTGATTCGCCTGAAAACCAAACATTTTGAAATGCGTCTGCGTAATTGTCAGCAACATCAGCTGCCCAACGACAAAAATCAAATCCTGATCCGAGATACTCAAACTCTGCATTATCTGAATTTTGTACGGAAAAAGTTTGAGATCCTTCCTAAATATGTCATGAACACAAGTTTTAGGGATTCCAGTCTCTGAGGAAGAACGTCTAACCGATTTCTCTGGACTGTTAGACAGCATTTCTCGAAGTGTACTCACAGTTTCGTAGCTCCGACTTGACCTCGGCCGACCTGCTTTTAGAGCATCTGCTACTGATCCTTGTCGCTCGAATTTACATATAATCTTGTAGACATGTTTTCTGCTTTCATTACAATTCTTAAAATAGAATCTAAACTTTCGCTTAACGTCTGTTACACATTTTGTTTCATAAAATTGTTTGACGATAAAAATACGCTGTTCTGACGTGAGTCGCGCCATATTGATATAACGTTTAATTGAAATGATGTCATAGTGTCGGAATGTCATAAGTTTTGGCGCATTATTTTTTCAAATAGTACAAACTTTCGTTTGAGACCTTTCGAATGATATCAGTTTCATAGAAATAGCACGGGATTTAGCGAAGTTATTAAAATTTTAAAGCATTACCTTTTTTTCGGACACCCTCTACTTGTTTCATCAACTTGTTTTTCAATTGATTACCTTGTTTTAGAAAGTGTTTGCACATAGAGCATACTCTTATATATATATATCGAATCAACTGGGAAACATAAACTCTTTATGCAGATGATTGGGGAAATTGCTACTTTAATAAAAGGAGCTGGAGATAGAAATAAACTTGGTCATCATAATCCGACGTTATAAGGAAAGTAGACAAAAGTTTTTTTTTTGAAAATCCATGTATTTCATAGAAATTACTAGAATATTAAGCTTGCTTTTCCACTGTTAATGTCAAAGCATATTTATCGAATCTGGACCAAGATGATAGAATTATAATAATCTCAACTCAAAACAAAATATTTTAAATAATATATCTTTATTACATTTTGCTTCGTAGTTTACAGTTGCATTGCGCACAATAGTTTAATTAATAAATTATCTTTTTTTGAGGGGGCTGGGGTGTTTGGGGGTGGGGTGGAGTCTTTTCTTCATTAATGATACATGTAAAATGATTTTATTAAGACCGTTTATTATTCACCACATTTTTTTTCTACTCTAAAGATATTTTTTATAAATGTCAACTCAAAATAAACAAATCTCTGGCTGATTTAGATAATTTTATTTTATAAAGAATACCTTTGATCCCTCTATCAACTTAGTGACCATGACGATAACATAGATGTTTTCTTGCCAAATCATCGCCCAAAAATCTTGTACTGTGTTCTTCCTTGGTCCTATATAAAAATGCAGAACACAAAGATATATAAAAATTATCATTGAAAAATGTTGTCAGAAGCCCTTTTTATAAATAGTCTTTCTTCGCCTATTCTCTGAAACAAAGTCCTGGTATATTGTTGTTATCACAGTGCTTCTCCAATTCTGGCTTTTCTTTATGCTTTATTGCCACAAAAGATGCCATGTCCCCTCTTATCTTGTAAACACAACCAGCATTTAGTTCTCTAATGGTAATACATTGATATTTCGATTAATTGCTTAAAGGATTTATAAAGGAGTTGTCTCCTCATGTCTCACTGGAGGATCAAAATGCTTACCAAAGCAGGTTGTAAAATTTTTTTGTATAAATTGAGTTACACCGATTTTAATTTAGGATCGAATATTGCTTGATCTGGGATGGTGATGTTAAGGTTGCCAATGTGCTTATGACTTTAAGATACTGCAAGAAAAATAGATTTTCTGGATGAGTGAACTTGATTAAATGTATTCGGTGAAATATAGAGATAAATAACAGTTTTCAAGCTCAAAAGTTCATTTAAACAATACAAACTGGGAGCACAGCAAACGCGGACCTCTAAAAACATCAGAGGAGGGATCAGATGTCATGGAGAAGTAAGCAAACCCTGTCGACCGGTCACACCTGCCATGTGCTTATTGACATAATTGTGCAAACGGAAAAAGACTCCCCAAAACAAATATAACTCTCACATGTATACTCACATGGATGACATTATTATAATGAATACTTACTATAATTCTCTGCAAGATTTTACAAGATTGCTTAGATCAGGTCCATTTTCAATTAACTAGTAATGCTACCCTCTTGAACAATCTTGCATCACTCGATGCTTCTTAGTATGCTTTAGTTTATGCATTGATCTTTTTCATGAATGACAGATAAAATAAATGATTCTGCGGCAAATCCATTTCCAAAGTGCTATTTTCAAATAAAATTACCTTGGGTAGCAATATAACGCTCTTCCCCTTCTACATCCTACAAAAATTATTTTTGATGAATAATTCAAATGCACATGAAATTGACATGCAAATTCTATTTTTTTTCCGATGTAAATTGTGAAATATTATGAATAAAGACATATGGAATAAGTAGTCTTAAAAGTTAGTTGTACCTTAATGTAGTTTGCATTGATGTAATCATTATCTGGACAATCACTCAGAACCACGCGGGAATGGTCATCTTTAAAGAAAGGTAAGCTTCAAATCTTTACTTTAAATTGCATGATGTGGTCAAAATATTGCACATATTCGTATATTTAGATGGAAGTGTTTTTTTTTTTTTTTTTTGTGTCAAGGTACAATGCACCATAATTCATATCTGTTCAATAACATTCTTATGTACCTATATACATGTATAGTTAACCATAGTAAATTTTTATCAGGGAAGTCACTAGAAATATTCTCATGAGTTTAACGGAAAGAGGATTTCCGTGAGAAAATTATAGTAACTTCCATTAAATGAAAATCTCTTGTTACAGAGTTTAAAGATAACAATTCCAACCTAAACTAAAAATATAAAATAGTTAATTAACTGTACAAATAACTTTATTTTGGCAAACAATGAACAAAAATGACTTTTAGTCATTTACCAACAAAAACGTAATTTTTTTAGCGTATACATACATGGAAATGTTGTTTTGTATCTGTTTCTTGGCATGTTTTGTTGTAGTTTACCCGCAGTACAAGGAATATGTGGCTGTTCTCCATACGGTATTTCCTGAAAAAATTCCAAAAATACAGTCAAATGTCTCATGCACACGCAAATCCAGAAAATTCGGAATATCTATCGGAGTTGAAGGTTGAAAGTCTCATTTATTCTGATTTACCTTAAATTCCTCTGTGAATTTCTTATTTTCCTCCGACGAAAATATTTTGATTATATTTCCAAGATCACCTATTTTGATGAGTGTTTTCGTTGGATCGATGTTTGTGACAATGTATTCAACTCCAACATTATCTTCTACATGCCTACCGTTCTCAGTTTTGTTGTCCTTGTCTTCAGTTTTGTTTACTTGGATATCTATAAAAACTTTTTTTTATAAATATATTTATCTAATCCAATTTCAATATTAAAATCAGACAATACTGCAAATCTCACGCATGCATGCCAAATCCTTTATAGGTAGAGTATAAATTCCCTACAATGCCAGAATTTTTTTTTCTCAATTCCAGTTTTATATTCAAACACAATAATTTTGCAATTTTCTGTTACATGCTCCAAATTTATGCATCATCATATTGATATTTATTTAGTAAATCAATTCATGTATACAGACATAGAAATGATAGGATTTTTATTGATAAAAAGAAAAAAAAATGTCAGAAAGACAATATGCGTATCTTGTTTATATTTCTTAGGCTCTTTTATGTATAACATACCGTTGTTAGACACATGTTTCCTTTCTGGTAGTTCTAAATCAGCGGCTTTTTTCTGTCGTGCTTTCCTAGAATATATTTATAAATTCTGCAAATGGAAATCAATGCAGTGCTGCAAGGAGTTACCAAAAAAGTTTACAGCAAAACGCTATTGTATGGAATAATAACAGAATTCTATTACTTCACTTACCTCATGAGAGCAACCACTAAAACAGTGACCGCTATGACGACAATAATAATAATCGGGCCACCTACGCCTGCAGCAGGGAATGTCGAATCCTGTCCCTGAGCTTCTGCAACTGAATTATTCCTTTTACATTTATATCAAGATGATAATAAGATAAATATTTACATATTTTTGGTTCCATTTTGCACACTCAAATCCAACTGGATCAAGGCCCTTTTGATGATATCGTATAAATCGAGGTGTTATGTAACAACTCCCCCCTCCCACACACACACACATACACAAGAAATCCCTCGATGCTCAATGACTATAAGTGTCGAGTCCAGATCTAAATGTACAGCTTTTAAATACCATTTGATGGCATTCCAAAATGACTGTAAAATTCTCGAAGTGACTTGAAGTAAGCAAATAAAGAAAATCATTTTGCATTTGGCTTTTAGGAAGATATATCTCATATAACAAATCTTTTCTGTTCTATTTAATGTACGGTTATGTAATACAGTTTTAAATATACATTATGTGCAAGTTTTTCTTTAAATTTTTTGTGCCTGACTTCTTAAAACACTTATATGTGCGTTATAGGCTAAATATTCAGCGTCTGAGAAAAAAATAGCAATTACAAGAAAGTTGTTCCTTTGCAGCATTCCTTAAATTTATTTCCTCTGTATAGTATGTAGAGGTTGAAAACAACTTTCATGAAATTACAACACAATATTTACATGTAAATGTAACATATGCTGAATCCCTAGAATTCCTTCTTTTGTTGTATTTCTGTGTTTCTATATCTATGTTTAAGTTTAATACAATTTGTATGTTAGAAAGTAAGATAATTCAAAAATATTTACAAAGGTCAAATTACTTAGGATAAGCTACAAATTTATTTTGTCATGTTTACTATAATTTAGTACCAGTTATATTGCAGAAATCTCCAATGTATCCCACTAGGCACTGAGCACATGTCCCAATCTTCTTATTGCAGACAGACAAACAACTTTTAGCACAGGTAGAACTGCACTGGAATCCAAATGTCCCGTTGTCACATTCTGTATTAAAATCACATACTTGACCTTCTTTGCAGATAAAATTTTTTATCATGAAATTTTGTTTATATAATTTCAAATTTAAGTGAAATTGAATTGACATCAGATTAGATTTTTGGACCCTTGGAAGGCATGTTTATCATTGTGAATACAACTTATGAACTAATATAATAAAACGAGCTCGATCGAAACAAATTCATACCAATGTGACATTTTTCTCCCTGATATCCAGGTTCACATTGCCCGGAACAAGATCCACTGACATGATGACAAGTCTCAGGACCCCAACAGTGACCACACTCCTCCTTGCAAGCTTTGCCATAGAATCCCATACTGCACACTGCAACATTTATCAGAAATGAACTTATTATTCCTAAATGATTGAATTTATATAGTTACACTGATCGTTCATGTATCTCCATTATCGGAATATATTCAAAACTATGTATACCGTAACACTGTCACTACCCTATTCCCTCCTCCAAGGCACAACCTGTCCTAAAATGTCACTATCACAATCTACATGTACTTCTAAAATTTTTAGATTATCTATTGAAGGAGAGACAGAGAGAATAAAAGACATACATAGTCATTAACTGGACAAAAATATCCCTATCCCGTTCAATTGAGGAGGATACATTAAATGCACACACAAAAAGCATCTCTCAGTTGTATATGATCATGTACTTCGAGGATACCTTTGGATTACATTGTTTACGTCAGACAAGAAGTTATATCTGTACATGAAAGGATTTGTATTTTTATACATCTCTGTAATTAAAAAAATATGTGATGAAAAAAGCTTTCTTTTAAAAAAAAATACAACTTTTTTTCAAATCGTGGATATGTATATAAAACGTTCCTTAAAATTCAATAGAATTTTGAATATTTTCTGCGCAATAAAAAAATAAAAATAACAACAAATTGAAATCATAATACTCATACTTAACATGTATGTATAACTGAAAATAATCATGAATGAATAACTTCACACGTAGAGTAACTTTTCTTTCATCCACTGTTATTAGAAAATCATCCAGTCGATTTACTTTCATCGCACTGGTCATTTGTCCACCCTTCTTTACACCCTCCAAGACAAGTCCCGTTGCTTTTTGAGCAGAACAATCCTCCAGCACAATGTTCACTGCAGTTATACATACAATGGTTTCCGAAAGTCCCGTCATCACATTCTATAAATGGATATATACTTTATGTATTCAAATTACGTATTTTCATTCATAAAATTACAAGCATCAAAGGCTAAGATAATACCTATTGAATCAATATTACATGTCAAATAATAATTATTTTTTAAAAATGCAGAAAATGTTGATCAATAAAATATATGACTGCTTGTCAATTAACAAAAGTAGTTGCT